AGCATGGAAGAAACTTTTGTGCATTGTGCAGGGAAGTATGCATGGAAGTGTGCAGGGAAGTATAAATTTGGAATTTTTGCAAATCAATTTTGCTACCCAAATAATAATAATATAGAATTGATGTGATTTATTTCAATTTTATAAAATTCTGTACCTTAAATAAATCAAAAAGACTGCTTTGGATAAAATGTCAATTCAAATTACATCAAATCAAATCAATCGTTTTCATCCATTTAATTTTGATTTTCAATTTATATGCTTTTCATATTTGGTAAATCTAATTGGGCCTTTACTCGGACTCCTCCAAAAGAATTAAAATGGATTGTTTTGGGCCTATTAAACCTACCGATATTTTCCACATATGCCAATGAAAATGCTCTTTTCCTGCAAGACCTAATTCATATATATTTACGTATCTACCACCTAAATCTTTTAAAATGTAACATACACATTTTCTCATAGATAAGATGACATATATGTAAAAATTAAAAGTTAGATGTTAGATATATAAATATATGGGTGTTTAATGGTATGCATGCAAATGTTCCTAAGAAAAAGTAGGCGAGGCTCCTATCAAGAATTTCTTGCAATTAAAGGCACATGCACCACTATAAAGCCAACATCATTACATGTAAATGGATGATAATGTAATTTATATTAAAAAGTTTCATTTTTTACATTACATATATATATATATATATACGTGAGACAGATGTCAAATCAAGAAAAAGCCTTAAGAAAAAGGTGAAAAAGATGGTGTTAACTACCAAACAATCACTCGATAGAACCATGACATTTTGCAAAACTCAGAGATCCAAAGCAATAGAAGCAGAGATATGGGGAAGAACCGAAAAAAATTCATCGATCCAAAAAAACCCACGAATCCAGAGCATATCTTGACAGATCCAGAGCGTATCCTAAAAAAACCAACGAAGATCTTACCGGAGAGGGAAAAAGAACGAGAAATCGAGCCCTAATGATGATTTCGATCGGAGAGGGAGGAAGCGAGGGGAGAGCGCGGGAGAGATCACCAAGGGCAAAAGAAGGAATTCGAGCCCTAACGCCAACAGCCAATGCCGAACGCAGCCGAGGCCCCGCGATCCGGCTAATGAAGAAAAAGGGATCCGCGGGACGCTGCGTTCAGAACGCCGCCGAACGAACGCGTGAAACAAACGCGCGGGCGAAAACGCCACCGCACATGTATAAGCTGTGCCAAACAGGGCCTAAGCCTTCTAAGTCATTCTGGAATTTATCTTTAGACCTATATCTAAACCAACGTGAGGAGCATAAGCACTTATAATATTAAAAAGCTTAGTATCAATAATAGTCTTAAAATCTATAATTCTATCACCAACTCTATTAATTTTCACAACTTTATCTTTAAAACTCTTATCTATACATAATACTATTTCTAGTGTGACTCATACCATAATATCAATGTTTAAAACCTAAGGTACCAATCTCCTTAGCCTTTTCTCCCACACATTTTGTTTCTTAAATACATAAGATATTAATCTTTATATGAATCATAGTATCAGCTAATTCCATTAATTTACCGTTAAGAGTATCAATATTCCAAGATTCTACCCTAATTTTTGTTTCATGGGCTAACTTCATTACCCGCATATTCCGTAATGTGGGAACCCTTACTTATTTGACACTACACCCGGGCCGGTGTAGCGGCCCTCGCACAATTTTCACTGTATTAATTCAGACCATACAATGCGTCGCTTCCAAGGGACTCCCTAGCACTTACGCAATGATTAAAATGATTCATGTCATGATTTTTTCTACAAATTTTATATTGGCTGTTGACTGCATTAGACAATGAAAGTGTTTGAGTGATTAAAAAGATATGTATGTAAATTTCTCGTATATTTATTATCAATCATGTAGTCAGATATTTTTTATTTTTTAATTCTCTTATCTATTAATACGGTGCCATTGTATTTATTGGGTGTAAAAGTCCCTCCCTGCATATGTTACAAACGAGGGGGAAGACGATGGGTTAGGGTTATGTCCCGTCCTGTTCCACTGTGTCAAAGTCTACGAGCGGGTCTTTACAAATGGAGCACGGTGGCGACGGCGACCGAGCCGGCTTCCACGGCAACGAGGTGATCTCCGCCGTACAGGACGAGGAGCAGTTCTACGGCGACGAGGAGGACTATGACGACCTCTACAACGATGTCAACGTCGGTGAGGGCTTCTATCAGTCGTCGGCCCACCGCAGTGAAGCCACTTCCAGTACTTTTGCAACTGAGGATGACGGTAGGAGAGAGCCACCACAGGTTTCCCTACCATCCCCACCGGCGGGAGATCCTCCGGAGAGCATTCAGATTCCTGTTGTAGCAGGAAACCTCCATGCGGAGGAGACGGTCGACAGATCTGGAGTTTTTTCGGATGCAGGTTTCAGAGAGAGCGTTGATTCATCTGTCATGGCGAGACCGCCGGCTCAGTCCGGCCTGCCCAGACCTGATATAGGGCAGTCTTGGGTCAGACCGGGGTCGATTCAGCCTCATCGAGGCGGTGATTCGTTTAACGAAGGATTTCCAAGGCATGGTTCTGAAGTTGGCAACGACGGTTTTCGTAGGCAAGGAGTAGCAGTCAACAGCGACACATCTACAGTTGTCAACCTTTCAATCACCACGGCCCCTTCAGGTAATATTGGAGCTGCATTAGGTCCTTCAGTTGGCGTAGCAGGCAACATGAATGGGCCTGTGTCCATGGTTGGTGGTATCGGCAGTGGAGGGGGAATCACCACTCTTTTTGTTGGAGAGCTTCAGTGGTGGACAACAGATGCTGATCTCGAGGCTGAACTTTGCAAGTACGGACCTGTAAAGGAAGTGAGATTTTTTGATGAAAAGGCTAGCGGGAAATCAAAAGGTTATGCCCAGGTTGAATTCTATAATCCAGCAGCTGCCACCTCCTGCAAGGAGGGTATGAATGGGCATATTTTCAATGGAAAACCATGCGTTGTGGCCTTCTCTTCCCCACAGGGTGTTCGGAAGATGGGTGAGGCTCAGGTGGCCAGGAATCAACAAGGAATGGTTCAGGGTCCATCACAGTCTGTGCTTGCACAAAAAGGTAGAGGTGGAGGAGCTCACATGGGTGGGAATTTTGTGAGGGGAGGTGGTGCTGGAGGTGGTGGTAACTGGGGTAGAGGTGGGATGGGAAATAGAGGACATATGGGGAATGTAAGGAACCGGGTCGGGCCTGTTGGTGGAAGAGGTATAATGGGGAATGGTGGCATGATTGCACCACCTCCTCCCGTATTCAATCCAGGTGCCATCCTTGGCCAAGGGTTTGATCCAACTGGTTATGGAATGGCAATGAGTAGAATGGGTGCTGGATATGGTGGATTTCCTGCTGGACCTACTCCTGGTGCATTCCCAGGAATGTTACCTTCATTTCCTCCTGTTGTAGCACCACATGTTAACCCAGCTTTCTTTGGAAGGGGAATACCAACTGCTGGAGTGGGCATGTGGCCTGATCCTAATATGGGTGGTTGGGGAGCTGACGAACAATCAAGTTATGGGGATGATGCTACATCAGACCAACAATATGGTGAAGGAAGTCATGGAAAAGATAGAGGTGGCGATCGGGATTGGTCGGTAGCTCCGGATAGAAGACACGTGAAGGATAAAAGCACAGGGCATGCGCAGGAGTGGTCTGAGAGGAAGCAATATGAGGAGAGGGATGTAGGTTGGGAGAATGATAGAGATTTGGATAGGGACAGGCTGAGGGATAGAGAAAGAGAAAGGGAGAGGGAGAGGGAGAGGGAGAGGGAGAGGGAGAGAGAGAGAGGCCGTGACAGGGATAGAGATAGATATCGTGATGATAGAGATAGGCACACAGATCATTATAGGCCAAGGGAACATGAACCAGACCATGATGATGATTGGGATAGAGGACGCTCATCTAAGGCACGAAGCAACTCACGAGAGGTTGAGAATGTTAAGAGGCACCGACAATCTGAATGAGATGGAGCTTTAGCAATTTTCCTTGGCACGTGTTTAATGAGTATTTAGCATATTTGATTATTTGTTGATGCTCTTGGGCTCCATTTGTCAAGGATATTGCGGGCTTGGTATACTTATTACATTTGAATTGTAAGTAATCTCTTATCCTATGTTAAATTTTATTTTAATCATCTTGTTCCCATTTACTTTCTTTATTTTCATTCTTAGTATTCATTTATGGATTTTTGAATATGTTGATATTAGCTTCTTTTGCTTATTATTAGGGTTCTTAAAAATGCTAAGGTTACTAGGGCTCTTAGTTTTGTTTGAAAAACAAAAATTAGTTTCTAATTGTAGTTATGATTTCAAGCTGCAGCCAGCACTTTCCTATTCAATTTTGTTATTTAATTAAATAATGTGGTATAAAATTTCTTTGCTGTGTATTCTTGTTCATGATGGTTATGTTTGCCTAGTAAGTAGTATGCATTGATAGTATTGGATGACACAAGAGGGGGATAAATTGTGTGATCAGTGGTAACACAATAAATAATGCAAGAGTAAGAAAGTAAAGCACACATTGAATTTCAGGTGGTTTGATGCCATCTTGGCCTCATCCAACATCTTTAGAACTTGCAAGGATTTCTACAACCGTCGAAGCTTTCGCTCTACCATGATTTTTTTTTTTTGCGAGTCCCATTCTTTAGAAAGAACCTAGTTTTAAGGCAAGGATAGTCAATCTACAAACTAAGGGCCTATCTTCAAGTAAGAGGAAAATGAAAATTTAATCTTAGAACTTAAAACAAATAACAAATTGCAAGGAGACGAGGAAGCATGTTCTGTTGTTTTAGTTGATGAAAATCTTCTCTTTCACAAAAAAAACTTTTTAATATTTTAAATTGCTTCTTAGATCTTCATTTTAATGCAAAATGCTCTTGGAAAGGCTTTCTTTGAACCAGCTCTCTTAGAAAGTAATGAGGGTAAAAGGAAGAGAATGAGCTAGTGAAATACTAGAGAGATTATGTAACTATTTGATTTTTAAAGTTAACATCTATTGAACTTGAAAGGATTTCTAAAAGCTTCAAAGCTTTTGTTCTACCATGAGTTGTTTTTTTGCAAATCCCATTCTTTAGAAAGAACCTAGTCTTAAGGCAAGGATAGTCAATCTACAAACAAAGGGCCTCTCTTCAAATAGGAGAAAAATGAAAATTTAATTTGAGAACCTTAAGCAAATAGCAGATTGCAAAGAGATGCGGAAGCGAGTTTTATTGGTTTAGTTGATGAAAATCTTCTCTTTCACAGCAAAGAACTTTTCTAATATCTTAAAATACTTTTTTTATTTTTTCATTTTGATGCAAAAAGGCTTTCTTTGAAGCAGCTCTCTTAGAAAGTAATGAGAGTAAGGGAAGAGAACGAGCTATTGAAATACTAGAGAGATTCCGTGACTATATGATTTTTGAAGTTATACCAAGGTTCTTATTTAGTAGTGGCATTGTTGAAATGCTATAGAGAGTTGTTTATAATCCCGGTGATATAAACATTTGATGCGACCAATTTTAAACTCTATCCATTCACCGTAGTTTGAATTGGTATGGGATGGATTTGGAAAAGATTGTGCATGGGACAGATTTCAAATGTTTGGGCTTGATTTGAGAAGACCATGCACATGAAAGATTTTGAGTTTGAATATAGAGTTGGCAAGATACCAATGTATATTTGAAGTAAATATTTCCAGGAAATTGATAAAGTGTAAATTGCAACTATAAATATTTTAATTTGGAATTTTCTATGATAAAGAAAGACATATCTCAAGATCAAAGGCATATACGGATATTAGGCAAATATGAAGTAGGTTGGTAAATTTTAATTCTGAAGTAACAGGAAAACGGAAATATGTCAAATTATGTATGAATATAATTCTTTTGAAATCTTGTTTTTCGTCAGTTTGGAGTTTCTGTGTAAATATATATTCCTAATTTGTTGTACAGGAAAGGTAAGAAACTTGTGACATTTTGAGGCAAAGGTGATATTATGAAAATAATTTAGGTCTGAAAATTGTTTAAGGTGATATGATGAATGAGGTGCCTAGAATGAGTTCAAAGAAGTGTTTTACATTAAATCTCATGTTAAAATATGAAATTAAACTTCTGTTGAACTTCAACTTGAATCTCATGGTGCTTGTTTCTATAAACCTTGTAGAAGTCTTCTCTTGTTCTTTGTGATGAGTGTTGAAGCATATATAATGAAAATCTATAAACAATTTTTTTTCACTGCCAAAGTGATTGATATCATAAAATAAACAATTAAGAACTGTGGTTAGAATCATTAGGTCGATAATTATGTAAAATTCCGAATGTTCATTTACTCTTGTTGTCACCATTATGACATTTGAGTATTTGTTTTGTTACTTATAATTTTTTAGGGGCATATGCTGATTTTCCTTTTGTTTTCATTGTTGATGCCTTGTGATCATCATATGATGCCAATTCGTCTTTCTTCAAACTTTCTTTCTATATTATACTTTAATATAAGAAAATTGGTTTCTGTGTGTGTGTCACGTCTAGCTGGGTATTTGTATGTGTGTGTGTGTGTGTGTGTGTGTGTGTGTGTGTGTGTGTGCATGATATGTGTGTGAATGATATGTATGTATGCTTTGTCTTTATTTGTGTTATATATTCATGTTTTGTATGCATGTATGTATGCATGTGTGTATGCATGTATTTGTGTACGTGTATGGGTATGTGAGTATGCGTCTGTTTGCATATATGTGTATGCATATATTTGTGTATGTATCTATTTGTGCTTGTGCTTGTGTTTATGTATGTATATGTGCGTGTGTGTATGTGTGTTATGTATCCATGCTTACGTGTTTATGTCGTATTTATGTGTGTATGTATGTGTATGCATGTGTATGTGTGTGCATGCATGCCTGTATGTATATACACATTTTTGTATATGTCCGTGTTTATGTATGTATGCATGTGTGTATGTGTATTGTATATGTTTGTATGTGTAACTATTTGTGTGTGTGATTTTTATCAGTTGTTTTTTATATGCATGTTAATGAGTTAATTACAACCGACCATTATGTGTAATTTGAAAAATGTTTGAATGTTTGAAATTCAATATTTCTTTTATTTCAATCCCAACATAAGTCAAACGAGTTTGTTGAGGTTAGGACAATTTGACACAAATATGATGTTTAGGGAAAATTTTGAACACAAACTAATTCTATCAAAAAAAAAAAAAAACATGAACAAGTCAAACATAAACGTTATATTTACAAATAAATTAGAGCAGCAGTAACAGCAACGATAAATCTTTATCCCACTAAGTGGGCTGCAAATAAATTAGAGCAACATGAACAAAAAATATAATGAGCTAAATTCAAATGCGTGTTAAGTTTGTCTATGCTGGGATTTTTTGCACTTCTATTTATGAGGAATGGCAGAAAATGTGCTCACTAATTGAGTTTACAAAATCAGCGTCTAGGGGCTAGGAATGAGAGGGATTGACTTGAGGTAAATTTGATCTGTTCATTTTTCAGCCTCAGTGAATGTAAACTACCGTAAAATAGTTGGGATAAAGCTAAAGATGATTAAATTTAAAGACACTCACCTTGTGTGAAGCTAGTATTGTGCACTACTCTATCAAACTCTAATGAATTATTTATTTATTTGCTTAAAATTCTTAGTGCCACACTTGGTAGAAATTGTGTATATTTTTGCATTTAATCTTTTTGTTTCTGGATGCTTCAGCGAACTAAATTGAATATTTTTGTTTCCGGATACTTCGCAGAACTAATTGCCATGTTTTTGCTTTTTGCTTCTTGCTTCCCATCAAATTTCGTCATCAAATAGTGATATGAAGATTTGGGTTTACTTATTAGATATATGCATGTTGGCCTAGAAGTAAACTGCCATGTTTTTGTAGAACTGATTGAAATTTTAAGCTATACGGATGTTCCAACAGTGAATGTCATGGTTTTGGCTTGCTTTCGTTACAAATCCATTATTTATTTTGTTCTCTTCTTTTGATCTTGTACGCAATCACTATATTGTTCCTTTTCTTTCTTGTTTGAGTTCTTGTTTTTTCTGGGGCATTTACATGCATTGCACAGAATTTCTTATGTATTTATATATCTCACACCTAAGCTTTCATATTTAAACATATAGTACTCAAATCTTTAATATTACATCAAATATAGCACAGCAAACTTTTTGAAGTGAAATACACATTTTCATGCATAGGTTCAAAGCACCAAAGTGCTATTTATGTAAATATGAAAGTTTAGGTGCATAATATGTAAATACATAATAATTGTGTGCTGCGTATGTAAATTTCCCTTCTTTTTAGTTTGCACCTGGACAATTCCAGAAATTCATTCATGAGAATTGTACAGGAGGCGAGATTGAAAATCTAACCTTTTTAATGTTTATTCTATTTTTGTTAGGGCGAACATTCAGGTCATATGTTTCATTTGGTAATGTTTTTTAGTTGCTTTGTTTTTAATAAACCTGATATAAGATATTTTTTATTCTGTGTGGCAAACATGCGGCAATCACACAAGGTATTACATGCACGTGCATGTGATGCTGGAGGTGGAATTTGCAAAATATGTTATCTAGCAGGGAATGAAAATCTGTGTTTTTGCAGAACATGTAATCGTGAAGGGAGTGGAATTCCATCAATTGATAGCATATTGAACTGCTTAGTAAGGGCTCTTGTAAAAATTGGTCATGTATTGTAAGCTAGCTGCTGGGGTTGCGTAAAGTGTTCTATCTAGTTTTTTTGATAAATTAGGTTGTTTTGTCATGCCTATAATTGGCAACCTCATCTAATGACTAGATACTCCTGACAATGCAACATAATTTTAATTGCTTGAGCTGAAAGAAAGGTTTAGACATTGCATTAAAAATAAGGCAGGCCTCTATGCTTTGCAATGCCCCGGAAGGAAATGTTTGTGGTACAATAGATGAGCGATGCTATACATATGAGGATTTGGTAAGTCTTGGATTGTAGGCTGCAAAATATACTTGTTTCTATGCGTTCACTAGCATGCATAAATGCTTGTGTATGCATTAATGTACAAGTTAAACACATGCTTATGAATGATCATATTGACATTCTTGTCAAGATAACATGTAGATTTA